TGAACGCACATACCTGTTGCGGAGTTCACGGCTGCAGGATTAGAACATTCGTACATCAAAGCCATGAAACGGACAGCCGCCGACGCGGGTTTTCCGCGTGAACCGCAGGCTGTCAGAGTTACAGTTCAGATGCCAGCTGATCGATGTACCAGGAACCAGGCGATGATCGTTCATTTGGTGTGCTGCAGTTATAGGATCAAAGAGATGACAGGACGCCGTCCCCAGCTGCAGTGTTTCCAATTACATCAAAACGGGAGGCATTTCTCTTTCCTTGAACCGATCACTGCACTGGCTACATTGGATGTGGTTCAATTCGTGAGGACCGCTCCAGATTTCAGGGATTCCGATGATGTACAGAACCACCCAACTCGGTGGAATCCACAGGTATGGTGACTTGATTCATTCTGTATAAAAGGTACGCGTCAGGACAGTGGCCGTTGCATGGTTTGCTTCTTGAATGTCCCTTGTGCATTTCTGTCGGCGCATAGGTTCAGGACCCTCGGTAGGAGCAAGGGATTGCACCATGGCTCGATTTGTTCCGGAGGTTGCGTCAGATGACTGTGACTCTTTTTCCATCTCTGACGAGTACATGCCCTCAGGATGGTACGTCGACAATCTGAGCGAAACTGACAGTGGTGATAATTCTTCTACATGCATACCTCGATGCATCACCCCGGAGGATTTCTCCGATGTAGACTCTGCACACATTGGAGGTACCACAGATGAACAATCATTGGAGGACAGTGCAGTTGTTCCTGAAGCGGTTCCTGTTCCGGAACCAGAGCCACTTCCTAACAAACCTCGGCGACGTTTGCGCATGATGGATGAGGACTCTGACGGTGTTAGGATCAAGATTCTTCTTAGCCCACGTAAGATGTTTCGACGCCATATGGAGAACACCCGCATTTTAGGCGACGATTTTTACATTCCCAATCGTTGCTTCGCTGATCCTCGGCTTCCTCCAAAAACACGGAAATCGCATTGTTAAAGAAAAGCCAGGACCTAAGAAGAGGTTCCGCAGCACATTGGACTTGGTTCGCTATGTCTTGAAGACAGCGAAGAAATCGTCGACGGACTAACAATTGCAATCTGCCCAGGTCCCGGAAACAAGACCACAGCTGTTGCTCTCTTCTCTCTCTCTCTCTTTCTCTCCTTTCTCTCTCTCTCTCTCTCTCTCTCTTTTTGCCTCTTTCTGTTGTGCAGCATGTGCATAGGAGGCAACGCGCGAATCCACCTTTCAGGTTCGAGTTTTCATATCTTGCAGGTAATCAGCAGCCATGGACAATCAAATGATGAGAGATACTCAGTGGCGTGTCAGTCAAGCATCCACTGCTCAGTTGCTGGAGTTGCTCTGGCAGATCTGGGACAGGCTCAATCGCAGATTCCGGTTTCAGGATGGACCCATTCGTTGCCAACACCGGTGCCAACATTGCGAGAATCGTTGCTGCTATCACAGTCACCATACTACTCAGGAGCAACAACATGATTGGTATGGGCCGCACTACTGTTTCCTGCATGATGAAGACGGCTACCAACATCTGTGATCGATAGATTCCGACAGGATTTGATTCCGACAGGACTTGATGTCGCGAGTTTTTGTAAAAGAACCAGTGCCTGATGCGATTCGATACAGGACCCAGCTTTGCCCTTTTGAGGTACACATGTGAGCGTGAATGCGTATGTTTGCATGTACTTGTAAACTGGAGGTTCGGACGCTTTCACTACTAACGTTCTTCAGCACTGCATTGTCTGTCTCGTCGCCACAGCAATTAGACACAGGACCCAGGACTCCCCCTCACTGAGGGGTGTGTGTGTGTAAGCCTTGATTCTAAGCTAGAGGTTTTTGGTGCATGCGATACAAGTGTTTTCCAGTGCTGCATTGTTCTTTTGTCAGCAGGGGGGCAGTGCATGCCTGACAGTCACTGCCCAACGAAGACACTGTCAGTGCATGGTGATATCTGGCCTGATCAGCCAGACGTACCTGCTTTAGGATTGAATGGCAACCAGGCCAAGCCAAAAAACCTGGCAAGCCGAACTGTGTGCTCATGTGTGTTTCGAGGACTTTAAGGTTCATGTTGCATTGTCAGGATCGTCACAATAAAGCTATCAGGTTATCGTCGACTATATCAACATATTATGGCAAAACTGGAAGTGAATGGTTCAGTCCTGATGGACTCCCAAACTCCGTGTGTGTTGCGTGCGTGTGTGTGTGTGTGTTGTGTGTGTGTGTGCGCGTGCCCAAATCTGTGTTGTGCATGTTTGTGCGATCGCCCAGTGGCATTCATTGGTGTTTAGAGTCTTCCAAAACGCGTGCTGCATCCAGCAAGGCCCTTGAGAGTCAGCATTAATTTACAGTCTTCCAGAGGAGGGTGTCCCAATCGTGCGCCGCGTCCCGCAGAGTTTACAGTCTGCCAGATCTGTTGCGTGTTCTCTTGCGTGTGTTGTGTGTGTGTGTGTGGTTGTATGTTGTGTGTGTTGTGTGTGTGTGTGTGTTGTTAGTTGTTGTAGGTGTGCTGTCACGTGCTGTGCTGTGTCTGTTGTGTGTGTCGTGTGTTGTAGGAGGAGAAGGGAAGAGGGAGGGGAGGAGGGAAGGAGAAGGAGCGGAGGGCGACAGTAAGAGTAAAAACTACGCCCGAAAAGGGTCTGAGTCGAGAGCCCCACTGCCAATAGACATCGGCATCTCTTGGCTTGCAGTCGAGGCCCCAGATGCACCTCAGCTGCATGCGTTCCTTGGGCAGCAAATCGAGTGACCATGTTTGGTTTGTCGTGTTGGATAGGACTGCGACTCACTAAACCTCCGAATCTGAGGTGCCTTTCAAGCTGCGTGCCACTGGGAACAAGCCCTTGTCCTGTTGAAGGAGGAGCTCCAAACTTGTCGTTTGGGCACTTTGTGTTGCACATGGTTCGTTTTCCAGGAGGTTTCTCGAGATGATGCAGCGAGCTTTGAGGAAGGCATCTTTGCATGTTCCGGAGGGGGCAAGTGGCAGTTGGCAACTGAGCCTTGGCAGCCGCAAGTAATTCAACAAAGCTTGAACTCGTTGCCAGGGCGAGTCAAGCACATTGTCTTGTCTTCTTTGCAAGCTGAACAGCCGTTTGCGCTCGAGCTCAGGAAGTGCTCAATGAAATGCAGGCGCATTGCCCACTGTAAAATTTTGCAAGGCAGTAGTGTGTGGAAGCAATTCTTGGAAGCAGGCGCGACAGCTTCCCGTGAAGGGGGTGACGTATGCAACTCTCATTTCGGCCTGTGTCCGGGCCAAACAGCAACCTGGCATTAACTCGAGGAGCAGAAAACCATGACATGCCGCGTAGCCTGGAATTGTCCGAGTTGTCAGCGCGGAACTTTCGCTGATTCTACTTGCAGTCGGCACGGCTTGGTCTAGATTCGCTTACTAGCAGTTGCCAAGGTGGCGCTATGCCCTGTGGTTCTTGCACGAAATGGAGCGCACGGGTGCCGACAAATCGGAGAAGAATAAGGCGCCTGGATGCAGTGCACTTTACCATCCGGCAGCTTCTTCGAGTGCAGGTAATCCTCTATGGTGGCGTAATCACGACTTTCAATTGGCAGCGTGCCTTATGGCTTCTTCGCGAAATGCCAGCCCGGGAGGCGTGCAGCTAAGTGAAAGCAGTTGGCGGTTGCCCGCCGCATGGTGACGTTATACTGGGCGGAATGTTCCATCTGTGCGCAGCCTTCGCCGGATTCCTCCGTCCCGGCCAGATCCTGTTTTCAGGTGTTTCGGAGGAGCGGACTCTGCCCGCCAGCATGCAAATCCCGTCCTTCCCCCAAGCCTTCTTTGAAAAGCTGGATGACGCGGGCGTGCAACGAAGAGCCTGCCTTCCAGAGGCAGAGATGGCAGAGATGCTCGTGATGTTGGCCACCATGCAACGTTACCAAAGGACCGCACTACAAAACTAAGCTCCCTCCAAACCACGGCTAGGCAGGAGGAAAATCGAAGAGACAGTGATGCCGGCATCTTCCCCCGCCGAGTTGAAGCTTGCTTTCTGTCATCTCCGCTCTCCGAACGGGCTGTAGCCGTCAAACGTGTTCTGTGTTCTTTCAATTAGAAGCCTGAGCTGTCGCAGGCTTGTCATGAGAGATTAGGATGTGCTTCACAAGGTGCTGCCAAACGTGGTCGCTTATGGTGCGGTGGCTTCAGTGTGCAATCGAGCGAGGCACCCCTTCATATCGCACCCATGATATCGAGATGTATTTATAGTGAATAGCTGAAACATGTGATTGAAGGAAGTACCTGTACTCACTGCAGTTGCATGAAGAGATGCAAGAGAAGGACCAGGGTGCATGGGACTAGGATGTTCTCATACCAGTCCGCTATAGGCGGAAGGCATCGCAATACTTCCGAACGCTGTGATGAGAAGGTGATGCAAAGCGCTCTTGCCGGGAGCACCTATCAGTCCGAAGATTCGTGAAGATTTCTGCTGCAAGTCACGAAAGATACGTCCACAACTCCTGGCGGAAGCATGGCTTGGGAGCACTCTGATGACTTATTTATATGCAAGGATTCTCCTCCTCCTCCTCCTCCTCATCCTCTTCCTCCCACTCCTGCAAAATTTTGTCTGCATGAAAGGTGTGTTGAATTTACCTGTAAACATCTTGTGCCCTGCCTAGTGATTCGCTCAGCAATGCAGGATGCAAAAAACTCCTGCTATTACTACGACGACTGCTACTACTATACTACTCCTACTACTACTGCTACTACTTCTACTACTACTACTACTACTACTACTACTACTACCGGAGTGAAACAACATAGGAGTAGCAGTGAGTTCCAGATCGACGGGGTCGGCTTGTCTTGCGTGGCCTTAACTTCTGTGTTGAGTGTTTTCTGCCTAGTTGATCCCGTCGTGACTTGCAAATCTCGGGTCCCCGCGGAGCTGCCACAGGTGTGCCAGGTGGGTGACAAAAACTACTACTACCACCACCACCACCACTACTACTACTACTACTACTATTACTACTACTACTACTAGTACAACAACAACTACTACTACCAATTGCTACTACTACCAACAACACCAACAAAACCAACACAACCATAACACCAACAGCATCCTAGCCAGGCGGGAGGCAAAACAGCACCAACAGCACCAACAGCACTACCATCACCACCAGCAACAACAAAATTACAACCTACAACTGCATCTATAACAAACACAACAGCACCAACAACAGTGCGGCCAGCACCACCACCACCACCACCAACACAAACAGCAACAACAACAACAACAACAACATCACCAACGGCAACAGCCACAGCGACGGCGCCAGCGCCAGCGCCAGCGCAGCACCAACGCATTGCCAGCAGCAGCAGCAACAGCAATAGGAACAACAGCAACAGCAACAACAGCCACAGCAACAACAGCAACAGCGACAGCGACAGTCACAGCGGAAGCAGCAGCAACAGCAACAGCAACAGCACCAGCTGCAGCATCAGCAGCAACAGCAACAGCAACAGCAACAACAACAACAAGGTGGAGCATGGTGGAGCGTGTGTCTGCCGCCCCGCACGGTGTGTCGTTGATTTTGGAAGTTTTTTGGTCGAAAGCTTGAAAACCCAGAGTTTTGTTTGGTTTTCGTCAACAAGTTGTTTTTTAGGATTTTTGTTTTCCATAGTTTTTTGGTTTGTTTTTTGGTTACATTTTTTTCAGAATTTGTCGCAAATACCTGGCTTTTCGTCTTTTATTTTTGATGATTTTTGGGGTCTGTTGCGAGGTTTTCATCTGGAAAGCCGCAACTTGAGGTTTTTGCGTGGTTTACGATTCAAAAGTGAAGCAACAAGAGCGGCAACAAGGGCGTCACAGAGCAGCCGTTAGCGTTTGAGAAGTAACGCAACACAAGAAATAGAAGACACAAGCCGCATTCGCATGGACGTCATCACCCCTCCCCCCATCCACCCCCCACCCCGGCACAGAGCTGAAAGACAAATGCAAGTCTAAGCTGGCATGTGCAAAAAGTCGAGAGTCGGCAAAACACCGTAAAAACCAAAGCGAAATGCGACACGCATAGGAAGCAACAAAAGAAACAGCAAACACAAGTCGCATTCGCGTGGACGTCATCACCCCAGCAATCCCCGCACGGAGCTGGAACGCAAGTCTAAGCTGGCATGTGCAGAAAATCGAGAGTCGGCAAGGCCCATAGAAGAATAGGCTTCGGTTCTTCCTTCCAGACCCAAGGAATGGAACGTGTTGAGGGATTAGGGTCCCGTCCCTTTGTGTCGTCGTCATTCCAGACACCCGGAATGGCGTGTGTTGCCATCTGCAAGAAGTGCAATGCTGATGACGACATGTAGCACGTTGCAGGGATAAGGGTCCTGTCCCCGTTGTGGACGCGGCCACCCAGGTACTCCCATAGCGGGTACGTTTTCACGTCTGCTTACTCATGGTCTTCGTCGGTCCCAGCATGAGCAGCAGACCTGGGACTCCCTGCATTTTGACACACTGACATCAGGCGTTTCGTCCCTTGGTAACAGGGTTCCTCACACACGCACACACGCACACACGCACAGGAAGACACCGAAAAAAACTGTTCGAAATGGAGAGCTCGGCATGTTTTTGTGCAGTGCAGCCCGCCAGCTGTTGCATTTTTTGGCTAGAAAACACAGCAAAACCCAATGGAAAAACAGGTCCAAAGTTCAGTTCCAGGTGAGCAATGTGCCAAAACTCGAGTTTCAGCCTATGCTAGCAAAGAAATCGCACCACCCCGCGCGGCGGCAGACGCACACGCTGCCAACAACAATAGCATTTCATTCACACGCAGCGGGAGGATACTGTCTGAGGTGAAACTTAACGTCCACGCTTTGCGAGGGATCGACCTGCTGCTCTGCTTGCTACTTGCGCGGTCACTTCATGACGAGCCGTGCCTTAACACAGCACTCGCACACGCTCCGCCCCTCAAGGCTGCAAGCAATGAAGTCGGAATCGGACGTGTCTTCAGTGACTCGAGCTGCAGACTCTGGCACTAATGAAGTAGTTAACCGGCTGATTTGCAATGTATCGCTGACTGATTGGCGACGTCCATTTTGCACACTGCTGTCTCGCGAGAGTGTCTAGCCTCGCTGTGAAGGCTCGGTACGAACCACTAGCTCTATGTTATAGTAGAGGCGGTGAGGCAATGAAACACTCAGTAAAGGCAGGCCAGGCGCCATTTCCAGCCCGTTGTTGCTATTTGTAGATGGCGGAGCAACTCCTGCCGGACTTGTGCTGGTGACATGAAGCTCTCCTGTCCCTGGATGGGAGATCGTTGAGGTCACAGCCTTTGGCGGTGGTCCCAGGGGAGAAACTCCTCCCGGGACTCCACCTTTCACTGGCACTCCAGGTGCCTTACCTGGGCCCGGTGTCCGATCTGTGCTAGATCCACTTCCTGACAGGTTAACAGGCATCGGAGGCGGCGGGCCCTTAGGCCCAGCTGCTTTAGGGGCTGCTTTAGGGGCTGCTGTGTCTTCGGAGTCGGACTCCCGAATGGCGTCACTGGCTGGCGGCGACCTGGATAGGTGGGGCCGACGTCGCACTGGAGGAGGGGTTCGGGAGGTCGCTCTGCTGCCACTCTTCTTCGGTGTTTCAGGCATGGCTTCTACAGTCGAGACAGCTGGTGAGTTGAGCCTGTACGAGAAGGCAAGTAGAGCTTCCAGAAAACTTTTGGCTGACAACTCACTTGCAGATCCGGGCCCACGACTTCGCACGGAGCTTCACATGCGACCTCGGGGTATACTTGCTGTCTGGTGATGAAATTGAAGTGACCTTCAGCCTCATAACATAGATTTTTGCGTGAGCAGCTGCATTATCAGTGTGGGGAGGGACTCCACCATTAGGTGAGGGTCCTCACGATCAGAGCGGCCTGTTGTCGCCTCCGTACTTAGTACCTGATTTCAGGCTCTGGTAGTACTCTATGACAGAAGGGGGCACTTCAGAAGGGGTGAGAATGACGCCGTTCTTGCTACGGAAAAATTGCACCCCTACCTGCATGGCTCTGCATGGATCGACCGCTACCAGCATCGACGAGCTATCTCTGAATCCAGAAACACCAGGTCTCCCATAGTCCCGATCCGAGACGAAGTGAACATGCTGCCGTCCCTCTCTGCCACGTCCGCCTTTGCCGCGGCCCTTGGAAATCTTGTTCTGAGGCAGAAGGCCTCGTTGGCGTATGGAGTCATACAAGGACCAGAATGTGCCATGATACAGCATTCTGGGGAGCATCTCCTCCGTGAGTTCCTCCAACACCTCATTGGAGTCCACATCAGAGCGAGAATGTCCTTGCAGAGCCCTGATGTACTTCTGGCCTTGGCAATCGCCCAGCTCGTACCTGCCTTTTGCGTTACTCCGAACGACCTCCATGAGGTCGCCTGCCGTGGCGTGCTGGGCCTGCACTCTTGGCCATCTCAGGACGTCCTCTAATTTGGCCCAACCAGCTGAAGTGACGCTGATGTAGGGTTTATGTCCGTGCCGGAGCGAAGCTGCTAGAGCCTTCGAGACTTCGAACGAGAAGCTGGTCTCCGGCTTCGTAGAGGCAGTGCAATAGTCCCCTAGATCGCCTGGTTGGCCCTCCCAGGCCACTATAGTGGAGCTACGTGGCGTTGTTGAGCTGTGGTCAATCTCTGACGCCATGGTCGGGGGAGAAACTCCACCCTGTGAGCTGGACGCCTGCTCACAAACCGGAAGGGGAGCAACTCCTCCTTCCTTGACTCCACTTGACGAGGCTTCGCCAGGCAGTTCGTATCCCAACGCCAAAAAGGATTCCCGTGCTTGTCTCAGTGGTATCTCCAACAAGCCACTCCACTCTCGGAGGTACTCACCTAAGGTGAGTGTCTCCTTGGTTGATATTTGCAGTAGCAGCGCTCGGATTTTGACTGCATCATAGGAGTATATCAGTTGGTTTGTTTTCTTACCACGTTTTTGCGATCCAGAGTGCGCAGCCTCCACCTCAAACATGGGCCGCACGAATATGTGCCGAGGTCCTATCCTCACCAGACAACTGTAACCGGCAGCAAGATGCCTGTTTGACATCTTGTGGAGATACACACCTGGTCGTGCCTCGAAGCTTCGCGTGCCGGAGAGGTCAGGTGTCGAAGGTAGTAGCCTGCCTGTGGCCAGTATCCCATGCAAACATTCCAGGTGTGTGCCGTGGAACGCAACCTCGCTGTCCCCTGCAGGAAGAATGTTCGGTGAAGAATACTCAAAACGAAACCACCCATTCTCCTCAGCTGTGGGATATCCAAGCTTCGGCTGCAGAGGCTCATTGGCAAGTCCCCGGCGAGAGGCCAGGAAGGTCTCCAGGAGAGCATTGGCTATCTCCGGG